CTCTCTCTCTCTCTCTCTCTCTCTCTCTCTCTCTCTCTCTCTCTCTCTCGGACTGTGCTCTTTGGTGCTCGGTGCTCATCGTGGATCCGTGCTTTGGTGCATGATCACGTGCTGATCGTGGATCCGTGCTTTGGTGCAGATCACATGCTGATCGTGGATCCGTGCTTTTCTTTGGTGCATGATCACGCGCTCGTCATCGATCCGTGCTTTTGGTGCTCGGTGCTCATCGTGGATACGTGCTTTTCGTGCTCATCGTGGATCCGTGCTTTTCGTGCTCATCGTGGATCCGTGCTTTTCTTTCGTGCCTGATCACGTGCTCATCATCGATCCGTGCTTTTCGTGCTCATCGTGGATCCGTGCTTTTCTTTGGTGCATGATACGTTGTCGGCGCGAATACCCTTACAAGGGTGTCCGCCCTGGTTTTTGCAAGTGATAGAAATTAAGTCTAGATTAAAGTTTAAGTATATTGCGCGAGTCGCAGCAGTGTCCGTCGTCTCTGCGGTTGATGGTTGACTAGAATAAAGAGTGTGTGGACGCTCGAAATTGAGGCGCGCGTGATCCTTTTGATTGTTGATGACCGAGGCGTCGGCGTGATCGCCGACCAAAATTTTTTATTTTTATTTTCTCTGATTAAGTAGGGATTAAAAAGATTATGTCTCATCGATTGACGTGCTTGCCTGTGATCTATGCGTACGTACGGAGAACGACATCGACAACGAGGAGGCTTTGAAGTGTCTTCGGTAGGCCCACGCGTCATACAGTATCGGTTTATCCAGGTGTCCGTCAAAGCTAAGACCCAGCCTTGGGCCTAGCACTAGCGATTACAGAGTCGGATGTTCATCAAAGAGATTCAGGGGCCGAGACCGAGCGGCGACAGCGCGGGGATATCAGAGTAGCACGAAGGGACCAAGGGGTTGAGGGACCGGCGGGGCTATCCCCCTTGGTTTTGTCGTCAGCGGCGTTAGGACGGTGCTAACATTTTTGTTTCCCTCGTTCGTCATATTGCGTCAATTAAAAACTTAAATATTTTATTATCGGCCTTTTCTTGGCCTAGGGGCGGCGCCGGTTCTAAGAGGCCTTCACGATAGTCGAGAGCCTTAAGCACGGGCCTTGCGTGGATGACTTACGAGTTCCCGCGTGTTTGGGATGCTGGCAAAAATCCTCCACGTTGTCCGCCCCGAGACACGGGCTGATGAAGTCGACGTGCATGCGAGCCGGCGGGTGATTAGCCCATGGGCTGGAGGGAATGTGTGTGGCGGGGCTTTTTGCGGGAGCTCCATCCGTCCTCCGCAGCCCGCGGAGGAAGGGTTGGGTGTAAGTATGCCCGCCACACTCCCCTCCACTCCGGTTCTTCAAAGTCCTCATTCGAATATTTGTCATTGCCGCTAAGACCCATGTTGGGACCCGCTTCAGTTAGAGTCGTACCACGAGCCTGTAGTCGGCCCTCACCCCCGACTCTGTGAGTGTGGGCAGCCGTCGGGGACCCGAGGCGGTGGCGGACTCAGACTGAGAAAGGCAGGCCAGGGGTAGACTGGGGAGGCGCTAAGGCGGAGGGTGGGAGCGATACTGACGTGCAAATCGTTCGTCGGACTTGGGTATAGGAGCTAAAAAGACTAATCGAACCGGCTAGTAGCCGGATCCTTCCGAAGTTCCTCCTCGGGCTGGCTGGAGCAGTCGGGAAGAGCGCTAGGATAAGGCGCTGACGAGCCAGAGCCGGGGAAAGCAACGACGACAGATGCGAAGGAGGAAATGTATCGGGGCGCGTTTTCGCGCCGGGTGCATGCAAAGCGAGGAGAGGTGCGCGGAGCAAGGGAGAACTGGCTATGGCGGAGGAAAGGACGTAGTTCTTGCCCGATCCTTTATGAAATCGGGCAAACCAGAGGTCGTTTTTGGGGTTTTTGGGGCGGGCGAGCTAGAATCTACGATCGGATTAGTACGATAGTTAGTAGGATAGGGGATAGAGGGAAAATGAGTGCGCGGATGGAGTCGAAGGGGAAAACGAAGGAAAAGAGGGAGTGAAATACACGTATCTCGCTCTATTCATAACGGAATCGGGCGAAATAAAATATTAGGTAGGGGTTTTAGACCGATCTAAAATGATTGGTTGTGCCAGATTCTTGATCTAGGAAGCGATCTAGTCAACACTGTCTGCATGGGCTGCGCGGTGTGAAGATGGCAGCTAGTGAGCAGGGCGCAACTAGAGATTGACGATTCGCTCGATCCTTGATAGGATCGAGTGAGTAGCAAGCGAACTTTGCGGTCTTATCCAGTGGCGACCGTGGATTTACAGCCAGAAAGGCAAAAAAGTTAGTACATGTGGGGTGGCTTGAAGAAATGCTAATGTACCTGGCCGGATCTCGGCGACAGGTTCATTCGATTTGGCAAATCGTATCGATGGAAGTAGTGTGAGGCCAGCCGCCTTGCACGCGTAGAGAGAGAAAGGGGGAATGAGGGTACGGAGGAACTGTTGAGGATGAGGAGTAAAGAAAGGTGATTCGGAGGGGAGGAGATACGTACCTGACAAGCGGAAAGGACAGGCGACTTCTACATCGTGCTTCTGGCCCGATCTCAGTGAGATATCCGTCCCCAGGGGGCAGCGTCTAACGGGCCATTGCACGGATGATGCACCTGGCTTGGTTTTAACGACAAGTTCACTCGACTGTTGTCTAGCATACGACGGCCGTTCCTACTGAACGACGAAGTAGAGACGAAGAGGCAGGGTCGGAGGCTTACTCGGGGGCGGTGTGTTGCTCAATCTCTAAGAATACGCCCTCCCTACCGCTTTGCGTGCTCAGCTCAATAGGAGTGTATGGTTCTATGTTTTAGTGGAAGGTTCCTTCGAACTTGCCCATAATGGTGATGGGAGAAGTGTGAGCATTGTGAGGCCAACCGCGGGAGCAGAGACCACCCTTTGTGGCCAGGGCGTGTGTTCTAACGGACAACGGGGGGAGGGAGGGCATTGAAGCTGGGATGTCTCTTCCAAGTTCAGACAGGAGACGCGCTCTCATTCCGCACAATTGTTGAAGGGCGGGCTACGGTCGCTTCGTAGTATACGTAGTTCGTAGCCTGGTCGTAGTCGTCAGTAGGATTGCAGTGATCACCCCCAACCAGCTTTTGCGCTGCTGTTTCGTTATCCCAAGTCTCAGCGTAGCAGCATGGTTGACTCCTATTCCCAAACAGTGAGCTGGGTCTGGCCATGCCCATGACCAGGCACACTTGTTCGCTGAGGAAAGTGAGAGCTTGGAAAAAACAGTAGGTGACGAGGAGGGAAGCGGGCGAAACTCTGCAGCAAGCTACCGCAGGCGGAACGGAGGTAAGACGAAGCCGAACCACCACGCCTTGCAGCGTTGTGGATGCGCTATCTGACAAGCCGGTGAAATATTGACGGAGCGGCGCTTCACGGTGCATGTCATGGTTTGCTGAGTGTTGCGT